TTTCTTTCCGAGTTTAAAGCTCGACTAGCCGATCCTTAAAACTTTTTGCACGTCCACCTTGTATGTCGTCGTGTGCGTATGGTTAAAGCGGCTGAAGCTAGAATTATCGTTACCCTGTGCCGAATTAACGGTCATATTAGCAGTCCGTGGCAGACTACCCAGGCTACTTACAAGAGGATCCAGAAAACCGAGTCGGCGTACATGTCGTAGTAGTCCCGTTGGTCGCGCACCTTTTCCACGTGAGATTGCCTTCCGGCGACGTCGCTCGAGGCCAATTTGGCGATGACGGCTACGTCGGCTGCGGTGCATGAGTAGGGTAGGCAGACACCTAGGTGCAGCACTCGGTTCTAAAATTTTTTGATACATCGGGCATGAATATTCAAGGGTCCCCGATACACGTAAGGCGACGTTAATAAAGCGACAATTATAAAGGACATGGCGTGCGCGTTGTCCTTGTTAAAAGTGAATAGCGGACGGACGCGTTAACCCAATGGCTCTTGAAATGCGAACTTCTCTTTTCGAAAATCAAAATTCTAAGTTAGAATCATCGTATTTAGCCAGCCTGGGACTCTTGCGTAAGGCAATACTTGTTTCTTTATTTATTCTCCCCCACTCCCCTCTTGGGCTTTAATGTCTATTTTAAGGGCGCTCGAAGCCGAGCTTCCGTTGCCATTATTAAGCAATTACGAGCAAGGAATTGATTGCGAGTCTTTGAACTTGAAGTGGCGATTGTTGCCAATCAACAATTTCACACGCGTCTTATTAAAGAGACGATGGAGATAGAAAGTGCGGGGGCTTGTGTCTTGCAATCGGCATTGCCTAGCGTCGCGATATCTCGTTTTAGCGACGCGAAGGAAATAGTATTTGCCGCTTCTGCAAGGGGCTTTCGTAATGATGGTCTCATCGTCCAGCCGATATGATCAAAGACAACGGACTGATCAATGCGATCGCTTCTGACAAAATAACTCGCTTTAAATAATTCCACTCAAGCTGCTCCATATCACCTCCCTACGTCAACGAGGCGCTTTATCCCATTTTTGTCACCCGCCGTGTCGACTTACCGCGGGCGGGAGGGTGACGTTAACGGCTATCCTCAGCATGTAGAAGCCAAGGGAAAACGGCGGTCGGTCGTTCATGGCTCCCTGACGAGTCGGTTGCTGCTGCTGCTGCTGCTGCTGCTGCTGCTGCTGCTGCTGCTGCTGCTGTTGTACGCTGAATCCAGCCTGGGGCCGCTTCTTGTGGGGCTCGGTGATGAATTCCTCGGCCTCGCTCACCTCGTCCGCAGAATATGGGGCTGAGGAGGAGCCGGCGAAAACGCCCTTACTAATGAACTCGCACTCGGTCGCCGAGCCCGTGAAGTAGGAGTTACCCCAGTAGAAGCCGCTCGTGTACCGTCCCGAGGCGTCGTCCACTGTGGGAAGAAGAGCCGAAATTTCTTATGAGAATAGCGGTGATATCGTTGTCAGGTGATTATTTTATTTTTAGCCTCGTTTATTAACTCGGACTTGGTCGTCGCCAATTCGGCCCATCGTTGTATTTCTGCGCGACTGGAAGATTAAAGGAACATTTAAGCTAATTCGTCACTTAGTCCTTTATCTTTCATAACAACGCCGAATAATTTTTAACGGCAGGCATCGATAATAAAAGTATGAATTCACCTGGACAGGAATTTTTTCAACCGAACGTTTTTCAATTAATTCGAAATCGAAATGTCACATGGCCTTTACCGTTCTGCCATAATCACTCTTATCATTTTTAATGGCAAATTGTTTATGTAAGGCAAGGGATATTTATTTACTAAAATATGGGTATAAATAAGAGAAGTTATAAGTAAAATTGAAAATTGAACGGTTGCACTTTCTTTTCATTTTTTTTCCCTCTTTCTTTCACGACAACGATAAATCAAATCAAATACATATTGGTTTATCATTCAATTCTCGAATAAAAATGTTTAATTCAAATTCTTAAGTTCTTTATTAAGTTTGAATAATAACTTGATGATATTAAAAAAAACGCTTGCTTTGCGATTCAATTACTATCTCTCTCTCTCTCTCTCTCTCTCTCTCTCTCTCTCTCTATCTATCTATCTATCTTTATATCTCTATATCTTTATATCATAAAATACGTGATGTAACGTTTCCTCTATTTTATTTTGTTTCGCTAGTTAATTTATTCATCCTTGCGAGATTTTTTAATTTAAAGCGTCACTGGATTTGTCAGTTCCGTCGTAACGAAAATTGTCAGCATTACGTTTTACGGTAATAGCGGCACGCGGCTACTTTGAAAACATTTTCATTATGCTCAATAACGATAATTGTTTCAGTGTCCTAAAGGACCATTATGATGAGCCTTAATCACTCTCACGTTCCCTGAGATAAGCGAGGCAACAACTTGCTCTTTAGCCATCAAAAGGGAAAATTCACTGTGAGTGTCCGCGCGATGAAGGAAAAAGTAACGCGGGGGAGGGGGGATGGGGGATTTGGGGGGGGGGGGAATTTAG